TCGAGATTAACATGTATAATCTCATTTATCCCTCCCAAGAATTTTCTGAAGCAGGGTCTAAGCAGATACTTGTGTGGGATCTTGGCTAAAAATCCCTTTAATCACGTCATATGTGTTAAATATTTCACATAAATTATCAAATTTAATCTCACAATAACCATGTGGGAAGAACTATTGTTAGTACAATTCTGCACAAAAAGAAATTGAGGTTTTACAAGATTAAGAAAGTTGTCCTTATTTACACATGCCAAAATGTTGAAAAGGGGATTCAAATCTGTTTTTCATACTCTAAAGTCCATGTTTTAATCTCCTTAGCATTTGAAAGTGTTCAGAGATTCAGGTGTAAATATGATGACACGTTTGCTAGAAGAGATTCTCCAATAAAAGGAAAGGATAAATATTGGCAAAGTATTAAGGAAGATGAAGGCAAATGAGAGAGAGAGAGAGAGAGAGAGAGAGAGAGTGAGAAAGAGAGCGAGAGAGAGAGAGAGAGAGTGTGTGTGTGTGTGTGTTTAGATTCTCTGGTGCATTTGATGATGGTGTGACCCTGTACAGTAAGGACTCCCAAGAGTAGTTGATCTCAGGTTTATATAAACTGAGAATGACAAAACACCTGGGCCCTGTAGGCACTGCATCCCCATTAGCAACTAGGGTCTTTTTTGGGAGCATCAAGGTTAGCCCATCTTAAAAAAAAAAAAAATCTCATTTGTTGGCTAGGTACAGTGACTCACGCCTGTAATCCTAGCACTTTGAGAGTCCAAGGCAGGAGGATCACTTGAACCCAGGAATTCAAGACCAGCCTAGGCAATGTAGCAAGTCTTTGTCTCTACAAAAAATAAAAAAATAACCAGGCATGGCAGCATGTGCCTGTAGTCCCAGCCACTCAGGAAGCTAAGGTGAGAGGATCACTTAAGCCCAGGAGTCCAAGGCTGTGATGAGCCGTGATTGTGCCACTTCACTCCAAACTGCAATAGAGTGAGACCCTGACTCACAAAAAGCATCTCATTTATTGCTTCATTAGTTTATCTACTTACTCATTCATGTAGTCATTGTGCATCTGTGTGCTAGGCACTGTGCTATAGGCCACAACTATGGATGAAGCAAAGTTGCATGGTTCCTACCTTGCTCTGTAAGTGGCAAGATGGCATAAGAACTTGAATTCTTGTCTTTGACATCCCTCTCAAAGTCCAATAGCAGTATTATAAGCTAAAACAATAATAGAGATATGTGTTGTTCACTTATCATAATTGTTTATAATAAAGAACAGGATTAGTACATCATCTATTATATTCTAACTGCTAAGTAAGTGAATCCACATACACAACAAATAGTAAATAGATCTGCACATATCTTGCATGTGGCAATAGTGGGGCTGTGGTGGTCATCCACTTCAACATTTTATAAATCGGAGGTCACATTTCTTTGAGGCCTTAATATATATGTTGTGCCTTAATAAATATATCGTGCCTCTTAAAAAGCTGTATGTTTCTTTAGGATATGGCTATATATTAAAATCCTTATTTTCCCAATACTTGTCACTTTAGGGCACTCTATGCATGCTCAATGCTTATTCCTTAAGTGGGAATGTTTTTAGTCTAAAGAAACCAATGCTTTGATATCTCTGTTTCAGCACTTGTTATAATATGTGACATGGGGATATATAAAAATTCATTCATCTTGCAGTTTAATATGCTCTTAGATTTATTGAAATTGCAAAGGTAAGAGAAAAACAAATAAAAAATTCAGAGAAATCATTATTTAAGATTCTAATTAAAGAACATTAAAACATGGAATAGTTCACATGTGTTATTCATGAAAAACCTTTTCAGGAGATAAAAATACACTTCAAAATCAAATTATATCATCATCTAGGCAGGTGGTTACTATAGCACCGAAGAGGGGGAAGGTAATAAAAATAACTAAATGCTGTCAGAGAAAAAAATGTTTAAAACATTCAAAGTTCATGAAATTAGAATTTTAAATACCAAGTTTAAATTTGTGTAGGTTGCAGGTCACTCTCTTGACTTAACTGCCATATGATACCAGGAAGGCTACATGCCCTTGGAACCATCAAGTTCAGAAAAATCAAGTATCTAAAGAAAAACACATTTTTCAACTACTGGAAATTTCCATTGATCCTCCAGACCTACAAAAATGCCAGTCCTCTCACTTTTCTAGTCTTCAAACTGGAGAGGAGATGGATGGTCAGGGTCAGAGCTGGAGTAACTGGGATCTCAACCTTGCAGATGCCCAAGTCTCAAATTATCAGGAGCATAAAACATGATCAGGGTGCTTAAATATTGCAGGAAGCATTTCTTGTTAAGAATAAAAAATATATTTGGCAGAACTCTTTTCAGGAGAACTTCATGAGTTGGAAATCATATACTGAAAAACTGGGAGTACAGTGAACCAGCAAGGAAGGTTCAGAAAGCAATGGATTGTCCATAAACCCCCCAGAAGATGATAGGAGTTATTAACAACAGTTCTGGTTTTGCTGAGTGAAGATGCACAAGATTATGGTTAGGGTTGAATTACAGTAGCTACCCCCTGTGCTTCAGCAATCAATAAGCAACCGTGCTCTGAATAAATATGAACAGAATATTGAAAGAATACTGTACTGCTGTAGTGATTTGAAAAGACACTAGATGTTTGCAAATCAAAATGGAAGTATTCTTAGTTTTTTGTTTTTGTTTTCAATCTCATCCTTTCTCCACAATCTTTATCAAGGGAAGTTATAGAATCTCTTACCTTAGGAGTCCTTAGGCAAAACATGGACCGTGCTCTCCTGGTAAATACTGGGGTCTTTCAAATGTTTTCTGGACTCCCACACTGGCTCTTGTACTTTCGTGTTTTAAATGCTCCTCAATTAAACGTTGAAATATTGCTCACCTAAACTAAAATCTTTTCACTTTTCTAAGATTTCAGTAAACCCTGTTGTAGACATTGAACACTTTCTTCTAAAAGCAAAGTTATTGCCCAATCTAGATGGCATCATTCCTTCTTATGGAAAGAGCCTAGATACCACTGAATTAGGCAAATGACATTATTTTCTTGGGTTGAAAAGTAAAGACCCATGGAGTAAATACATGCCTGCAATAGTTCATCTATCTGACCGGGGAACTTTGGAATACAAATTAGGATATGCATATATAATGCTTCTAGGATTTAAGACTCAGCATATATGATACTAGAAATACTAAGCATAGGTTTGAATAGGCTACAGCTATGCAATACATGCCACTAAAATATTTATTGTCCTTTAAGCACTTTCTAACAGAATTTCTTTCACTTTGAGCCTTTAGATATTTATTATCAGAGGCTTGTTTTTTCTCTTAAAGTTGTTTTTCCTCCCCAGTTTGCAGCACTTTAATAATATGAAGTGCTTCACTCTAGAGAAGCACTGAAGCAAAGAAAAGTTTAGTGGAGCCATACTGAGAGAATGAAAACATGTCACATTAATTCCGACTTCCCTTTCTGTCCTCCTTCTATCAACTAAAGAAAGTTATTTTTTAAAAATTCATATGAAAACATAACATATACCGGAAGATTGAGTTGTGTTTGTGTGTCTGTGTTTATTGCTTGTACATGTGTAGAACAAAAACCTCATAAAGCTACTAAAGCTTTCTGACATCATCAAGTTCTTTTCTGTGAGTCATTAAGTTGCTGAAGCCCAGAAAATCAAATTATGTTTAGGGCTCTTTGATAATGTAGTAACACAGTAAATTGTGATTCACCAATTAGCTCATGTAATTAGAAAATCTAAAAGCATGCTCGGATTGGGTGATAAATACACACAAGTCCATTGTCATTGTCATTCTATATTTTTACTTATTATAACTGTAATTACACCTTTAGCTGATGGTGCTTTTTTCAGATTATTTATGGAAGAGTATCTACAAATATCTTTTTTATAAATCAGAAAGATAAATTAGTTACTTAGGTCATTCATTCACTCTTTTTCCTTTCATCGATCTTTTTTCTTGCCAAGTTCTGTGTCAGGCAATGGGGCTGGCTATCTGGTCTTATCTCATTAAGTTCTCAGTCTACAGTACTATATTTAAATTTTTCTGAGATGGAAAAGTAAACAGAAGTTAGAATTCTACAAAAATTATGATTTTAGAGTTGAAAATTAGTCTTTCTGGTTGATTCCTAAATTCTAATGATGTTGCCAAGACATGTATCAGAAATAAGAAACAGCCAATTTGAGAATTTTCTTGCTCATAGGTTTGCCAGGTTGAGAAAAACTCTGTGATAGATAAAAAATGGGAAAGGGATGTTTGTTAGATTAATTTAAAGCAACTCTTCATACTCTCTGTATGCCCATCTGTTGAAACATGTCTAGTTGTATTTAAAATGTATTTATTTCTCTGTGTAAATTCAAATTAATTCAAGGGTTGGTTAGATGATTAAAAAATGTGTCATTAGAAATTTCAAAATGTGTTCTACTTTGTTCTTTTCTTATTGCTACTGAAGTACATGGATATGGTTACATGGTCCAGGGTTTCCCAATAAATATCACAAAAAAATAATGGGAATGAATTACCTGAGTTTGCGCCAATAAAGAAAAGGTATTTCTTAGCTGATGCAGTCATTTTAATGCTATTTTACTACAACAACGGCAACATATGTTTGGGCTGCTATTATCACTGATTTTTATGGTTATATTTCAGTGTTCAGTGATACAATTTAAAATGATACTAGAAAATTATTTCACTTATAATTATAACATTGCCCCTCGATGATTTGTTTTTTGAAAACTTACAATGCATATCTTGTATTATTCGCCCCCTCTCCCCTAAAATCACAAAATTCTAAGGGGAGTAATAATCTTGAATTATTTTTTATAACATCTCACTCATATATTTTAGAATAGTTTGGATTATATTTTACTTGGATGAAAACACATAATGACAAACATCAAGAAAGTGTGGTTTATTTATAGCTAGAATGAAAATTTAACCCCCAAGCATTTTTTTAAATGCAGCTGTCTCCTCCTCAGCATGTACTTAATAGTTTTCTTTCTTTTTCACTCCTATTTACAGGTCAATGGAACAGAAATTGAATATGAATTTGAAGAAATTACATTGGAGAGGGTAAGAATTTTTTTCTTAAATTCAGAGTTCCAGTCTTGCAGTCTACATTCTACATCTTAACGTGTTGTCTTGTGAAATTATACAATTGTGTGTTATAACCTGGAACTTACAGACCTCACGATGAGAATATCAATTAAATGCTCACAGTAGAAAGCACTGAGACAACATACCAAGAGAATGTTTAGTATGTAAATCACATTGCCAGGATTTGGAGAAACTAATGGGATAGAGAGATGTTTAATAATATTGTTCAAGCTGGGCTTGGTGGCTCAGCCTGTAATCCCACACTTTGAGAGGCCGAGAAGAGTGGATTGCCTGAACCCACAGGTTCGAGACCCACCTGGGCAACCTGGGGAGACCTCATCTCTACAATAAATCAAAAAATTAGCCGGGCGTGATAGCATGTGCTTGTAGTTCCAGCTACTTGAAAGACTGAGCAGAAGGATCACTGGAGCCCAGCAGATCGAGGCTGCGGTGGCCAGGAGCATGCCAGTGCACTCCAGTCTGGGCGACATAGTGAGACTTCAACAAAAAACAAACAACAACAACAAAAAAAAAAAAACCCAAAAAAACCATTGCTCAATACTTTATTCTTAATGTTTTTCTTATCTGTGTTTTGGATATATATATATTTCTTAACTATGTTATAAAATATATGTGGTATTGATACTATCATCGTAACTATAGTTACCATGCATTTCTTATTTAGTTAAAAAAAAAGTGATGGATTTTAAAATCACCTCCATAGAGAATGCAGCAGCCCCATCGACTCTGCAAATATGCTGGTAGGGTCTTGGCAAAGTCCTTTTATAAATTAAGGAAACTCTGTGCAACACAGCCCTAATATATTCCAATGTTTTATAAAACAAGAAAAAGGCCAAAGACCATGTAGAAAAAATTGGCAAAAGGCATTAGTAGGACATTCATTAAAAAAGAAAAGATCAATTATTTTAAAAAAAATTTTTAAAGTATATGTTCGCAAGGATACAGTGAAAAGAAAATGCAGATGCACTGTTGGTAGAAGTGTAAATTAGTACAAGCTTTATGGAAATCAATATGGAGACTTCTCAAAGAACTAAAAGTAGATCTAAGGTTTGATCCAGCAATCCTACTACTTCACAAAGTAAAAGAGGTTATTATACGAAAAGACACCTGCACTCACATGGTTTTTGTAACACAATTCACAACTGCAAAAATGTGAAATCAGCCTAAATGGTCATGAACTGATCAGTGGATAAAGAAAATGTAGACATATATATTATGTTCCATAGAATACTATTCAGCCATACAAAAAGAATGAAATAATGTTTTTTGCATCAACTTGGATGGAATTTGGAGACCATTATCCTAAGTGAAATAATACAGGAATTAAAAACTAAATATTGTTCTCACTTATAAGTTGGGAATTAAGCTATGGATTTGCAAAAGTATATAGTATGATATAAAGGACATTGGAGACTCAGAAGGGGGATAGTGGAGGAGAAGTGGGGGATAATGGGGGAGGACTGAGGGATAAAAAAATCACCTATCAGGTCCAATGTGCACTGGTGGAGATGACTGATGGGTACTATAGTACGTCCATGTAATAAAAAAAAAATTGTACCCCTAAAGTTATTTAAATTTATAAATAAATAAAAAGACAGTATTAATAAACTTGGAAAAATCTGTTCAACCTCATGAAGAACAAAGAAGGACAATGAGAACAGTTTTAGTGTCTCCAATTGGCAAAATTTAAAAGGAATGTGAATATTCAGTGTAAATGAGTGGTCCTCAAAACTAGTGCAACCTAAAAGAGCAATTTAGAAACATCAATCAAAAAAGCCCCTAAAATGGATATACTTTTTGACCTAGAAATTGTACTTATAGGAATATACAAATACACAAAGAATATTTACACTGGTTTTTTTTTATCATAGGAAAGATTAAAAAAGGAGATTTAGTGTTTAATTATTATGTCCTAATAATAGAAATTATTTGAAAATGTATTGAAGTCATATTTTAGAAAAATGCTTAGTTACAAGGTTAAAAGGTTTACCTATATTATATTATTCAATTGAGAAATTAAATTTTAAAATTGTATTCAAAATATAATTCAGTAAACACAAACAAAACCACACATACATAAATGCATACATAAACCTGGAAGGATATATACAAAATGTTAAAAGTAGCTAACTCTTGGTAAGGATATTATGAGTAATTTTTAGTTTCTTATTCTTGTTTATATTTATTTCCTAAAACTTCCATAATAAACATACAATGCATTTAAAATAATAAATTAAAATGTAAGTGTGTTTCTCTAAGTTATCATTCAAGTGTGAATTAAGATTTTAGACCTGCAATTTAATTTAATCTCCTTTATAGTTTAGTGATTATTTGCTTTCCTGAGTCAGGGGATTTTTCATTGTCAGTCTAATTTTTATTGAGTGTGAGTGACTTTAAAAGGAAATTTACACAGAAAGTTAAGCATTTGACAGATGGGGTCTTTAAAACTTCCATTATGGACTTTGATGAAATTTTAATGGCATGCTAAATGGAGAAAAGTGAAGCTTAGGGAAAATTAGCCCTAATAAGAAAAAAAGAACATATTTCTCCTAAATCACTAACCTCTTCAAGACTGGCTATATTATTTTTGGGGTGCAGTGCAGAATGAAAACGTGGTTTAAAAAAAAAACACAGAGCTCAATGTGACTCAACAGATCTAATGCCCATGAACCTGACCCTTCTCCCTTCCCCTGACTCTTAAACATCTTGAATAGAAGACCACTTAGTTACCCTGGTTTTATAGGTCAGAAAATAATTAGAAGCTAATGTTGGTGTAAGATGGAACATTCAGTAGGAGTCAAATCATTGTGGGTACTAGTCTGGATTTGGACAATTGCTTCCTGGTCTAGGGCATATCAACTCACCTTCCTCACTCCCTACCCTAGGGTTCCAGGTCATACTCTGACCCTTGTAATTGTCATCAACTGCACCCCCATTTCCAATGCCTCTTTGTCAAGTGTCATCTTCTCTGAACACCACTCTCTTTCTATCCTTGTCATTTATTCTAGTGTTCTCACTCCAAAATTCTTCAACCCCATTAGAATCTTGAATCATTGATTTCACCATTTTCCCCAGTTTTTACCCTTCTGTATGACCTTCCTTCCCTCCTCACCCAGCATCTGGTCATCACTCTCATTCTCCTTCTCATACACTCTTGACTTTTTTCTCCTCTTTCCCTCGTTGTACTCATCCAGCAGAATCCTAGTCCTGGCTAGCTTATTCTAACTACACTAACACTTTCCTATTCATTCTATGCTATCTCTGAAGAACTAGATGTGGTTAGAAAGATCCTCACTCATCTCACTTTAAATTTTTCATTACTGATTTCAAGTGAACTTTCAAAACCTGGCAATTCTTGCATATTTCTTTAGAAAGAAAAATCACTTACCTGTTCTCTGGGACAACAATTTTGTATCTCATTTTATCTACTCAAATCTCAAACATCCCCCATTCTCATCCTCACGTTTAGCTGTTGATCTCCCTTCCTATGTTCTTGAGAAAATTCAAGGAATCAAATGAAAACCAACTCTCTTTCCTACCTCCAGGCTTGCTAGCACACTATCCCGTGACAATGAAGGAAATTGCCTATTCCTTCTTGAGGCAAACTCTTTATTGTCTACCTGGACTCTATAACTTCTTGTCCATTTAATGACTTTCCTTCTGCAGTTATCTCCTCTCACTTCTGCAATATCAGTTTATCTCTTCTATTTTCCTAGGTAATTTTAACATATACATGGCGTAATATCTTTCATCTAAAAAAATTTAGTAAATAACTATCCTGTGACTCTGTTTTCCCCTCCTACTATTGCCTCATTATTCTATTTTGCTTTACCAAAATTCTAGGAAAATTGTCTGTTTTCATTAACTTTACTTTATTATCTCATTTTCTTATTAGCCTATTTCATGTTTTGTTCCCCGCAACAGTGCAAAAACTGCTCCGATACGTCATGACAAGTTCCATCTTGTTAAATTCAAGCATCAGTTCTCAGTCCCAACTGACTTCTCAGTCCCATTGGATGTGTCTTCCTTTCTCAAAGATATTATCTCTTAAACTTTCAGAATAAAACACCTTCTTGTTCTTTCGCAACCTCATTGGCTGTCCTTTCTCAGTCTCCTTACTGGCTCCTCCTCTAAATGTTGAAGCATTTCAGATACCCATTTCAGACCTCTTCTCAGTCTTTCCTCATTCCCTGGATGATCTCCTGTACACCCATGCTTCTAAGTACCAACTGTCAACTGATGACTCCCAAATCTGAAATCATGATCTCCTCGCAAGCTCTGAATGTGTATAGCTAACTGTCCAGTTGGCATCCCTGCTTGAATATCAAGAAGACTTTTTCCCTTCACTCCCTCCTCTCAGGAACAAAACTGCTTCAACCCTAACATTCTTTGGCTTATCAAATTGGTTCTATTATTTCCCTATTATTGGGTAAAAAAAAAAAAAAATGTGGAAAGTCTTACTTAATTATCCCTTATCCTTAGCATCCCTGAGCAAGTCCTTCTGGTGCTTCCATAGAAATATATTTCAAAATCAATAAAATCTTGCCAGCTACTCTGCTATAGTTGTAGTGTAGTCCAAACCAATACCATCCCATGGTATTGTAATACCATCCCATGGTAGATCATTGTAATAGCTTACAATTTTGCCCCACTATTATCCTTCCAGTACCAGAGTTTATGATTTGCAAAATGTAAACCAAATCATATCACTTTTATTCTTAAAATCCTCTAAAAGGAGATAAGTACACTCATTATCATTGCCTACGAAGCCTTATACATGTGACTGCCTGCTCCTCTCTCCAGCATTATGTCCTCATCACCAACTTTTCACACATTTTACTCTAGCCACAGTGACCTTCTTGACATTCCTCATAAAAGCTAAGCTTTTCCCAACTCAAGGCCTTTGTGTATGTTATTCTATCTGCCTAGAAAAAGCTTCCTTTACATGACTTGTT